AATAGTAATTGTTGGTTATTGGAATTCATTCCGTATATACCAATTATATACTTGGACATATATATATATATATATATATATATATATATATATATATATATATATATATATATATACATATATATATATATATATTATATATATATATATGCCGTATACATACACATATATATATATACATACATATATATACATACACACACACACATATATATACAAGGTGACAAACACACTGACACATATATATACATACACACACATATATATATATATGGAAAATATATATATATATATAAAGAGAGAGGGATTTTTAAGAAAGAAATGAAGAAATAAATGAAAGGAAAGAAAGAAAGAAATGAAAGAAAAGAAAAAGAAAAAAAAAAAAGAAATCATACGCCTATCCACTGAGAGGTTAATGGTTATATTTTCCTTTTTGGGGAATATTATGTACACAGAACACTATGTTAATGTAACATAAATATTAGTACAGAAGACGAAACCATCAAGACAGGTTCAAATTCTTGTCTAGTTTGTTGCAGTCATTTTCACACATTGTAGTTATGGTTTAAATAGCAGTGTAGGCTCTCATCGAAATGTCTTGGTTTGTACAATTCTAATCCAGAAAATGAATTTAAAATTCATAACTGTGGTGAAAAACTGGAAACATTTCAACCGTCTTTCAAGGAAGACAAAATATCCGTAATTCACAAACAAGAGAGAAGAAAAATCTACAGAGAGTTGTGACTGCTTATCTCCAAAACAGACACGCCATTTAAAAAAACGGAAATATCCATGCAACAGAAATATACACTGCCACATTATTATAGGGGAAAGGTCAGCAATTATATCTCACAACTCTAACTTAAATACTGCTATTGTTATTTGATAGGCACATGTAACAAATGGTTTGTTAATTTTAACGCCCCAAAACGAAACTGCTCTCTTTTAATCATCTGAGATGGCCTTTGTTTTTCAGGCCTCCATCTGTATCAAAAATGCTAAATGTCTTATCACTGACTAGCTGCGTCTTCTCAGGTTGTAAAAAATTGATTATGAATGTAATCTACTAATTAGGACCTTATTTAACATAATACATTCCTTTCGTTTTGATCAATCACAATCCATAAACAGACTAATTTCAAGTCAAAAAATGAAAAATTAAAAATGTTCATCTTTAACCAGCAAAAAATATTTAATTTCTAGGGCAAAAATAAACAAGAAAGAAGAAGATAAAGACCGTTCTTGGCAATAATATATCTTGAAAAAAAAAAAAACTGAATTTCTCCCATGTATAATGGTTGTAAACATAAATGGCATTAAATTTCAACAAAAGGATATGATTTCAATTTTTCTCTCCATTATAAAAATATTCTGTTAGTTTTGGAATCATTCAAAAGACTTTGTCTAGTTAATCAAAGTCAGGATATTACAATAACTAAATCAATTATAAGTTTAATTTTAGGATCATGTTCAATTAACATGTAATTCATTATGTAATAAAAATATTCATACATCCAGAAACACGTCTTTTTTTAACTATTTTCTGACTCAAAACCTTCCACAAGTATAAAATAACTGCAAATAACCGCATTTGGATCTAAATTCATTTGGATACTCAATATTATTTAGAATAATTTTTCCAATAACCATTACCACATTTAACCCAATAACAGATCCTTATACCTATAATGCACCATTGACCAGCATATATAAATAGTCTAACAAAGCACAACACACATATATATATATGGAAAATTATATTCAAGCATGAAAAGACTGTCACCATTTGGTCTTGACCTCAGTGGACACATTCATGCATTTTTTTTCTCACATTATTTCTCATTAAAGTTTATCATTTAAACGTTTCTAATATAAATGCTATGTTTAGTGGATATGCATGTCTGTTTAGGCGGTTGATATTAATTCCACTGTGTTGAACAAGTATGTCTTCTGAAACAAATGTACCCACTAAATAGAACATTTATAGTAATTTATAAGTATATATATATATATATATATATAAATATATATATATATATATATATAATTAAATGTCATCGAAGTCAATACTGGAAAGCATTGTTGCTTTTTCTATGGACCCTATAATAATGAGGATGGGAAGAAACATGTAAAAAAAACACATACATATATATATATATATATATATATATATATATATATATATATGATGTCACGTATTCTGATTACAAAATCTGACAATTATTTTAAGACATTTTATGTTTATAATCATTCTTTTTTATAGATACAAATATTTATAACATAAATTCGACCTTTTGACCAGAACATGCCTCTGTGGCCAAATGTCGGTAAAAAACACGTCAAGCTAAATAATGGTTCTGTATAGGATACTGGTTTAAATCCTGTCGGAAGAATCAGTTTTTCTGTGAAAATTTCTCAGACATTCAGGCCAGTAAATGTTGTTTTAATACTGTTTTATTATTAACAGAGCATTTACTTAAATATTTGTTATCTAAAAAGAATGTATAAACATAAAATGTCTTAAAATATATATATATATATATATACACCTAGTGTAGCCAGACAAACGAAACAAGTCTAGTTATCTATATTTATGGATATATATATATATATATATATATATATATATATATATATATATATATATATATATGATATGAACACAAATTGGTATGTCCCAATCCTCATAAATATGTTGAACACTACTGTAAGTTAATTTCATATGCTAATCTAAGTTTTCCACCAATAGCAGTGGTTTACCTACATCAAGCTGCTGGTGAATACGTATTGTATTTTGTTGATGCTATAAAGATTACCATTTCATATCCAACCTCCATTTTGGTTATTCCTCATTCAGTCACCCTTCTAGATTTACAACATATATATATATATATATATATATATATATATATATATATAATTGAATTATATATATATATATATATATATATATATGAAAAGATGTATCTGTTAGATGTTGTTGAATAGAGAATGGATGTTTTGATGTTTATGCTTTTCCAAAATATCATTCTTGTTTGTTTGGTACATTCTTCACTGGTACCAATGGTCGATGTTCAAACTCTTCTTAAAAGCCACCATTTGGAATCCTGTTTTTCAAGATAGTCAAGCCTTTCTAATAATTGACATAATGCAATCACCCCCACCTCCTTTTTTATTGCCCTGTACAGTACTGAATAGTTGAATTGACTATCAAATATCAAAAGCCTCTTGTACATTTTACTTGCTAGTGTCCTAACCACTAGGCCATCCCTAGAAGTCCTTTAATAAGTCACTTTTTTCTAAATCACAAATTCCTCTTGTTACATTCATTTATAAATATCAGAAAATATTAATCACGTAATTGCAATAATTACTATTAGTTTTAAAGAAAATATTTTTCAATAATTTATATCGCTTTTTTAATTAAAAGAAATGAGTTTTATTTTTTTGGTTGACTTTATTTTCTTGTTTTTCTTGATTGTGGGAGGCTGAAAGGAGAGAAAAACAAAAAAAAAAAGAAAGAAAGCAAAAATATCCATTCACTTTTTTGAGGGGTTCTACCAGAAGGGCAGAATGTTCTTGCATTTGTTTATCACTACCTCATGACATCAGTGCAAAATAATGCACTTAAAACTCCATCCCTTTTAGCCTGTCATTTATAATTAAATGCCGTATAAAAAATATAATTATATGTACAGTATATAAATGTTTATATGTATGACATCCAATGGTTTATATGTACAGTATATAAAGGTTTATATGTATGATATATAAAGGTTTACATGTACGGTATACAAAGGTTTATATGGATGATATACAAAGGTTTATATGTAAGATATATAAAGGTTTATATGGATGATATACAATTGTACGATATACAAAGGTTTAAAAACCTGAAACAACTATAATGTGAGAATTATCTTGACTAAAATTGGTGTTCATCTATACAGATAAATAAAATATCTTAGAGACAGTTCCAAAATAAATGTTTTGCCAATAGGGAAAATTGACTTTATCTCAAGTGGCAGACTAAGAAACAAAAGTCCTCCCAATCCAAGAAAGTATAACAGGTTTGCTACTGAAAGACATTTTCTACTTGAGATTTACTTGGCTTAACCCAATACACAATCTTAATCCTTTTTTGTTCCTTTTCTTTGCAACCGAATGTTCGCGATAACAAGGTTTACATAGCTTAGCTAGGTATGGCACAAGGACAATGATAGCCAGAAGTGCCCAGAGTGAGTATATCATGATGAACAAGACTGCAGCAGATCAATACCAGTTTTTGGAGGCCCTCAGTAATATCTTCAAAAAGCAAAAGATTAAAGAAAAATTATTTCCAAGTCTGACAACTATTAAAATCTCAACATTAGCGTTGACTATTTTCTTGAAAAAAATTTCTTTAAAACATGAGGAGACTATAAAGTTTTTTTAGCCATGACAGAAAATCTGTATAGTTGTCCATGTGCCATTATTGATCTGATATATATATATATATATATATATATATATATATATATATATATATATATTGTGTATTTAAGTAGCGTTCCTTCTTTCATACAAGCTTCATAAAATATGACAGACAAGATGCTTTCATTAGGTTTTTTATATCATTTCTCATATGATCTTATAATTTTTTTTCTTTTCTGTAGATAAATTAAACAGAAACTGTCCACATGTTATATTTTTCCGAGCACTTTTCAGCTATATTTCAAGGATGAAATATATTAACTGTTAACTGGAAATAGATTGTTGTATTTATGTATTTAGTATTATAGAATGTTTTATTTTCAACACAGTCTACATATTGTGACCATGTTTATAATTGATATTATTGAATGTTGTTTTGTTTTTTTTAAATAAAACATTCTATAAAACATTTTCGTTTTGAAATTAAAACATTCTATAATACTAAATGTTACATACAATAATCTATTCTAATTTTGCAATTAATATATTTTTCCTTCTAAAAGAAACTCATGTTTAATCTGGCTCTGTCATGTGCACATAGATAGATAGATAGATAGATAGATAGATTGAGATAGATAAATAGATAGATAGATAGATAGATAGATAGATAGATAGATAGATAGATAGATAGATGTGATCAAAGTGAGATCAATCTGATCAATGCATAACATCTACATTGCCTGATCAATAGAAACAGGATGTAAGCGAGATATAACTGGACTGTGAAATTGACAGAAAATCACAGATGAATCAAATAAACTGAGAATTCACAATAAGCTCAAGTAATATTTTTTTTAACTGATATTAATTTGGGTTCAAGGCCAACTTGCTGGAGTACTTATTCAGTAATAAACTCGTTTTACAAGATGCTACCCCCAAATTTTGTGTAATTTGATCTGACAGCTCCTTTTCACCCTCAATTTTGACGTTGTCTTCAAATCACCAGTTGCCATCAAAGAGTATCACAGTAAAAATTCAAATCCAAAACGTGTTTCATCTTTAAATAACCGACAAAGGCTTGATAAACTGTAATAAGATAAATAACTCAATCAATCAATACCTTATATAATTGTGTATATATGTGTGCATAAAATCATACAGAGTTTTGCATAAATATATTGTTATTAACATTCATATGTAAAAGATGGTTTATAATGAAACTGAATATATTTCAGTATCTGTTTATATTTCTGAGATGAGGTATTATGTACATTATTTACATTATTCGGACTATTGTCCTCATCTTTGTTGCTATATTTATTACAATGTTTCAGCCATTGTACACTCCGGCCTTCTTCAGGTGGTTGGAATGTTGAACTTAACCCTTTATTTCACTCACTGGGATAGACTGTTCATGTTTCACTGTGCCATGTGTCCTCAAGGACACATGGCACAGTGGATAAAGGCATTGGTTAGATCCAGTGACAGGACCCAAAGTGTGTGAGTTCAATACCTGGTTAAGGCAGTGGAGAACTTTCAGAGGGAAAGTAACAGGAGATAACTGATAACTGACATCCATTAAACATAGCACATGGAACTAGAACCGTCTACCCCAGTGAGCGAAATAAAGGGTTAAGTTCAACATTCCAACCACCTGAAGAAGGCCGGAGCATACAACGGCCGAAACGTTGTAATAAATATGGTTGAATATATTTTTTTAGGAAAAAAAATTGGAAAAAGTTGGACTCGTTTTTGCAGTAGGAACAAACATGTTCTTCTCAATGGAAACTAAAAGTATAAAAAAATTGTCGACTTGGTCTTTTTAGATTTTCTCGGCATTTTTCAATGCAAATTGGGTTCATCAAACAAGCTGGGCAGAGACTTGAATATTTGATTCATTCTTTGAAATTTGATGGATGACTTCTTAGTAAAAAAAAAAACCCGTTTGTGTATGCCACATTTAGAATGACAGCGGAGACTGTAATCTTTAATTAAAAAAAAAATGGATTTGGCAGGTGGCCAGGAAATTATCCAGACCTCACTATCACCATGAATCTTAGAACTAGCATTAAGGAACAAGTTGAAAATGTCTTCTTGGACTTGCAGGAAAACTCACAGCATTCTTGACAGCCTTTGATCTGACAAAGTTTTAGAGGAAAGACAAAAGAGATAAAAAACATTCAGGAAGCTCATTTAGTTGTTTAAATCACAGTTGGATTTTATAACTTCAATCAATCAAGAAATCAATTTAAAAATATTGATTCCATTTTGTTTTGGTGTTGCTTGTATAAAAAGAAGATGATATCCTTTATTTAAATGAATGTTTGCTATGCTTAGTGTACTTCCTGTAACATCATGGTAGCCTAATTGTACGTAATACTAATCCTTCTATATGACACTGAATGCTGGACAATTTCCCCATAGACGAAGAAGGCAACAAAGTAGTGTTTTTATAGAAGAATGCTGAGAATACCATAGATGAAGCAAAGTTTGAACCTTTAGACACACTAGATTCTTTCTACAATTGTCGCCCAAGCCACTGCATTCTTTTTTGAGGGTGCAAAAACAAGAACACCTACTGTTTAAAATTGTTATAACTTTCTTTGTATTGTGTATATAGATTTTATTTTTTTGTACACTAATAAAAGAATGGACGAGTAATATTTTGATACAATTTGCAGGTATGTTTTGACACTGAAAACAAAAAAATTGAAACATAAAATGAAAACAAAAATAAAAAATAAATACATTAACAATTTAACATACTTTAAGGAAACAAAATGGACTTTAAAGAAACAAAATGGACTTTAAAGAAACAAAATTGACTTTAAGGAAACAAAATGAACTTTAAAGAAACAAAATTGACTTTAAGGAAACAAAATTGACTTTAAAGAAACAAAATTGACTTTAAGGAAACAAAATGAACTTTAAAGAAACAAAATTGACTTTAAGGAAACAAAATTGACTTTAAAGAAACAAAATTGACTTTAAAGAAACAAAATTGACTTTAAGGAAACAAAATGAACTTTAAAGAAACAAAATTGACTTTAAGGAAACAAAATTGACTTTAAAAAAAACAAAATTGACTTTAAAACAAAATGAACTTTAAAACAAACAAAATTGACTTTAAAAACAAAATTGACTTTAAAAAACAAAAAAACTTTAAGTAAGCAAAATGGACTTTAAAAGCAAAAATTGACTTTAAAAACAAAATGAACTTTAATCCAAAATTAATTTAAGAAACAAAATGGACTTTAAAAAACAAAATAGACTTTAAGGAAACAAAATGGACTTTAAGGAAACAAAATTGACTTTAAAGAAACCAAATTGACTTTAAGGAAACAAAATTGACTTTAAGGAAACATAATGGACTTTAAAGAAACAAAATTGACTTTAAAGAAACAAGATTGACTTTAAAAACAAAATGGACTTTAAAAAGATTTTATTGATTTAAAAACAAAATGGACTTTAAAAAACAAAATGGACTTTTAGAAACAAAAATTGACTTTTAAACATAAAATTGACTTGTGCCAAAATTAAACAGCCTTCATTTCAGGGACACAAGGAAAGATGCCCTCAAAAAAAATTAATACACTTTCGACATATTGAATGGTCCTTGACATTTTCTAATGTTTAATTTTGTCTCACTAGCTCAATTATAACTGAATAGTAAGTTCACTCCTCACAGAGTTCCCCATAGTTTGGCCTTGTGCCATATCTACACTACACTTAGAAAATCCTTACAGAACATATTGCATGCAAGAGGTGTGGATGAATCATCAAGCAACCTAAAAATGTGTAAATGATGGAAACATAGGAAGTTTTTTTTTTGATCAGCCCACTTAATGAGCTTGAGTAAATGGATGACAGAACAGAGACTGGAAGAGACAGTAAGAGAACATACATTTTTTTTTCTGCAAAGTATTATGACAAGATGTGGAGAGGCATGATCATTTACATCATCAAAGGAAAATACATATAAAAAAAATAGGTTTTGTTCAGCATCTGGCCAAATAGATTTAGAATAAAAAAAATTCACTTGCTCCAACTAAAGTAGGTTTATCTTCCATGAAAATCAGCATTGAAATCTTTATTTTTTTTTTTTTTTTTTTATCAGGGTTTGAACTGAAGAATAATTCTGAAAATCCCTCAGCCTCCATCACTTCTTTTGTCTTTATAACCAAAGAATTGCTATGGCACCTCTACTTGATGAGCTATGTCACCCATCTAAATCAATTTTAATATCGAGTGGCATTTGCAATTGTATAATTAATAGAGACATGGTAATTTTAATGTCTGAGTGCCTTTAATCACTTTGTTTCGGACGATACGGCTGCACCCTTTTGTCTTTCTTCTCCCAATTAATAATATCTTTGTACTCTAAAATATGAAAAAAAAAAAATTGTCATTGGTCTCCCACTGATAAAAACGATAGATAAACCAATTTCTAAAATCATATTTAACGTTCTAAGAGATTTTTTTTTTCTTTTTAGGAGCCACTCAGTAACATTGGGAAATTAAATAAACTTTTTTAAATTCTTTTTTTTAATTTAATTTAATTTATTTTAATGCTTCCCCCCACCACTTCCCCATCATGATTTTTTTTCTATTTTAAGGACTAAATGATTTTTAGTCCTGTTAATATCCTTATATAACAAGTTCAAAAAAAAATCAGTCATTTGCAGTGTACATAGGCATATCAATAGATCCATACCCTCAGAGAAAGATTTATTTTACACAATAAATATTGATCTTTTTCAACATAATCTTCTTCTTTGTCAATGCACTTGAATCATGGACAAGATATACAAGATTATACAATGAAAATTTTTTTTTAAATTGTTTCAGGCCACAAATTTATAGAGCTACCCTTATACATGCATGCATACGCATATACATATACATATGCACACACACATACAATTATATAAGTATAGGATTGGTGTAAATTCCAATAACCAACAATTCTTAAAAGAGTGCTCAGTACAGAGTAGAGCAAATATAATTATTTATTTAAAAATTAAAACATAAATATGTTATAAAATCACTACAAAAATAGCCATTTAGTTTCAACACTTCTGGTGTCTTATCAAGTGATGATGTTGAATGTAGAATAAATGGTTTTAAAAGATTCAAATTAAATAACCACTGCTCGTAAGGGGAAACGCTGTTATATAAGCTGGAATGACCAATCAAAATACAAGTATACAAGAATTCAAAAAACGTGACAACAAACTAAGGCTATAATAACTATTTAATGTCTTAATGTTGGGGTTAGACTAAAATAGAATTTATTCTAACTAATAAGTATTAAATTATATGATAAAATTTGTAATTAAAAATTACCCATTTTAAAATTTAAATTTAATCTCTATTAAGTTTAAAATTATAAAATTACTGAGGAAAAAAGAAAAAATATGTTATTCTATTTATTTTGTTTTTATTGAAATTAAGTTGGAATAAACGTATGGAATAAACGTATGATGATGCAAAGGACTTATACAGAGTAGAATGGCTAAATTGATGCCATTTTATACTTTTTAATTTCAAGTATATGCATTGTTTGTTTTTGATTTTGTCGACTGCACATGATGCAATTCACTCCACCAGAAATTTGGAAACAGTATCCTGTACTGCTTGGCATTCATGCTGGGAGCTCCAATATGAACATTTCAGAGTCTTTGGGTGTCAATCTGAAGACAGTGCAGAGGATTCGGAAATAATTGAATGGTATATCCAGTCAACATAATGGTGTTTGAAGTGATCACTGGTGATGGCGACGTTATGCATCCATTCATTTTCTCACAGGGCCTTAGACTCAACACCAAGGCCAACATCAGGTAACTTGATGAGGTTGTGCTGCCTTTGATCATAAGGGAGGCTGCTGGAAGACCCTATGTATGGCAACAGGACTCAGCCCCATATATAATATAAAATGTTAAAATACAGAAAGATTAATCTCTTATGGGAAAATGGCCCATATAAATAGAAAAATTGAATTTCATCTATATGTAATTTATATATATATATATATATATATATATATATATAAATTACATATAGATATAAATTAAATTTTAATACCCATATATATATATATATATATATATATATATATATATATATATATATATATATATATAACTTATTAACTTTAAATTAAATATGGTTTCACTGCTACACAGGAATTACCATGTTTCAAAATTCGCTTGAAGATGAAACAGAACTAATGCATTTAATTTAATATAATTGAATTTGAAGTTTTTGGTTTCTGTTTTTGAAACATGGTAATTCCTGTGTAGCAATGAAACCATATTTTTAAATCAGTTAATTTATAATATTTATGCTCTGTAAATTTACATTGAGCACTATTTTGTAAAAATAAAAATATCAATAAGAACACTGTATTATATATCTTACTGGTCTTTCTTTTTTTTTTACTATATATGTATATATATATATATATATATATATATATATATATATATATATATATATAATAGAGAGAGAGTGAGAGAGAGAGAGAGAGCTAAATCAATATATCTGTAGGCTCATAGTGAAAAAAAAAGCATTTATTTTACACAAATATTTATTTTGTGACATAATTTCCATCCTTGTCAATGCACTTAATCAAACACTTATCTATTAATCATATATACTAAATATTATACAATGAAAGTTACAGCTCACATCTGTATTAAGCCATAAACTTATTGATCCAGTCTCCTGGTCTCCTGGTCTGGGAGAATTATTTAAATACCAGTTCAAAGAACAGACAGAAAAATGATTGAAAGACATTCGGAACCTGAAGACTGAATAAGAGACATGGAAGAGAATTAACTACTTTTTTTTTCTTTGTAAGATTGAACAATGAAAAAAAAATTTCCTCTGATAATTTTTCTAACTTTGTTTTCTGGAAGAAGTCCATAATGTCGTTAGAAGATTAAAAAAAATGTAAAAGACGAAAAAAAAACTAGTTTTTCTTCATTTAATTAAGGGACTTTCATATCTTCTTTTTCTATGTACGAATCTATTTCTTGTATTTATATAAGTTGATAAAAATTTAAATTTTGTTCTAAGAATGTAAAATGTGACTAAAATGTTTCTGATTCCTTTTTACCAAACTGACCATCCTTTATTCATTAAAAAAAATATATATATATTTTTTACAATGATGTACCCCCTATACAGGGCCCAAGATCCACAAAAGGTAGAGGGTTACAGAGAAAAAGGCACAGTTTATGGGGATATGTCGGGAAGATAATGGTTAACTCTAGACTTGAACAGGTTAAGATTGTAGTGATTGGGGAAGCATCCTCTTGGGAGTTGGTTCCACAAAGCAGTGGTCCATGAGAAGAATCTGCTGACATGGAACTTACATCTTACCAACGGGAATGAGATTAGTTTACTACAATGTGCGTGACATGGTGGGTCCTAGCCGTGATGTGTAGAACTGGTAGAACAAATGAATGCAGTTTGTCTGAACACTTTCTGGGGAAATAGTGCCACAGTAGCAAGAGACGTCCAACATTTCATCTGTAGGAAGGGGTTGTTGGATAGAAAATAATTCATCACCCACAAGGACACAAAAATGCTTATGGACTCTAGCAACACTGGAAAGTGAGGATTGAGCAGCTCCTGCCCATAGATGGCAGCATTGTACCATTTTTGGTCTGATTTGACTCTTGTAAAAATAAAGGATAGTAGGAGGAGTAAGGTACTTACTGGTCTGCTACAATGAACTGACCATCTTTCAATAACAGCAAATTTATCTAAATTTACATAACAACCATTCTAACAGGAAATACCTTGTCATAATAATATGGATATTTGACAATACTTACTACTTTGTTAGCGCATCCTGGATATGATGATAAATTATATCTGAGTCCTGGGTAAGACGATAAACTACATCCAGCAGCAAGGCCTCTGATCAGGAGGTTTTGAGGAGCATGGAACCACCTCTTAATTGCTGGTGTTCCCAGGTCCACCCTGACCCATGGTGGTAGCACCTGTTAGGGTCCCAGCTATGGGCAAATAGTTAACCCCCAATCTGGTGTCAAAACACTATGAAAGTGTAAAAACAGGTTTTAATACCAGAAATACTTTGTAAAAAAATACTACCAGCAATACATTTTTGAAAAAAAATATTACCAGCGAAGGAAAATTATTATCAGAAAGGTAATGAAGGAAAAAATATTACCAGAAATAGATTTTTTGAAGAAAAAATATTACCAGAAATAGATTTTTTGAAGAAAAAAATATTACCAGAAAGAGATGTTTGGAGAAAAAAATATTACCAACAATGAAAATTATGTCAGCATTGAGGTTGATATGCCGTAAAATAAAACAAACCAAACCAAACTACTTGGTTAGCATAGATGAGGTTCCGAAACTTGTATGTCTGAGCAAGAATCACTTCCCCACAAAATTCTGGTATTTGTTCATTTCAGAAATGGGCTCAGCCAAGAACCTGTCATCACTTTTTTATAATTTTTCAGCTGTTTTCAGGGTTACTATATCTTGAAGGATTTAAAATTAGAAATAATTCAAGTCAAAAGTTTACCTTTTTTATTGGCGGTCAGTGTGTATAAGGTCCCTCAGAAACTACAGGGGTTTCTTTGAAAAGTTTTCACTTACCTGGAAATAGAGAAAAAAATCAATTCAAATTTGAAACAGTTATTAAAAAATGGCAATTAAATAAGTAAATAAATTGAAAATTTATAAAAGTAAAAAAAAGAATTCGATGACAGAAACTTGCAGATAACTGCATACAAACAAAAACAGACAAATATTATTGATTTATTTTTTAAGGCTTATCAACCCTGTGTGAGTTATTTAAAGCCAAAACATATTTCAGATAGTTGAAGGTTGCTTCCAGTACTCCAGTGATCCAAAGCAATCCTCCATTTAACTAGTGACGAGTGCTTAATATCAATGATCAAACGGGAACGGTTGTTTTAAGTGAAATTTGTAGGTAATAGATAGATATTACCAAACAGGCAGATAGATAGATATGAACAGATAGATAGATAGATAGATAGATAGATAGATAGATAGATAGATAGATAGATAGATAATAAATATGAATAGACTTAGATAGATAGATAAAATAGATGAATAGATAGATAG